CGCGGCAGCCTCGGGTCTGTCAGGTTTTCTGCGAACCGACCAGGCCAGCACCTTCGGGCCCTGTTTCCCGAGGCAGTCGCCACCAAGATGTGGAATAGTAATGATGGGCGCGGAGGGCGGAGAAGAAGGAGAATCACAGGAGGATTGGACGAGAGGGCGAGCCCGGGGTGGGAGAGGCGGGTGGCGGCGGGAGGGGAGGGGGTGTGAGCCGCAGGTGGGGGCGTTCGGGAGTCCGGGAAAGGTGGCGGGGAAGGTTGGGGGATTAAGGGGGTATCTGAGAGGGGCGAAGTCGTAGAAACTTTTGGATTTCAAAAGCCAAACTTTTCAGAGGCTCGGAAAGCAGCACAGGTACTAATACCCTTGTTTAAAACCAGGTGGTGGATTTGATAACTATGGCAGCGCCGCGTACGGGGGAGCCGGCGGCTACACACAGTCCCCGGGGGGCTTTGGATCGCCGACCTCTACTCAGTCCGAAAGGAAATCAGTAGGTGGAAGGAGTATTTTATTTTTTATTTTATCCTGTCCTGAACCCCCTAACTCATTTCTGAGAGAAAATGTATGCGGCCAAAGGTAGGGTGTTAAACTCCAACTGAGCGATGATTATCGAATATTATTCGCGTTTCTGATAATTATGTGCTGTATGTTTTTTGGTTTTTTTTCAGAGACAAAGTCTCACTTTGTCGCCCTTGGTAGAGTGCTGTAACATCACAGCTCACAGCAACCTCCAGCTCTTGGGCTCAGGCGATTCTCTTGCCTCAGTCTCCCGAGTAGCTGGGAATGCAGGCGCCCGCCACAACGCCCGCGTATTTTTTTTGTTGCAGTTGGCCGGGGCCGGGTTCGAACCCGCCACCCTCGGTACATGGGGCCGGTACCCTACTCACTGAGCCACAGGCGCCGCCCTATGTGGTATATATTTTAAAAGTGAAATCCTCTGACTTTGCATCCACTATTTCGTTGGGATTTTTTTCCCCCTTAGTTTTATTGTGAAATTTTTTAGTATAGTTAATGAATCCATCTTGTGGAAAAACTCTGTGAACTTGCACTAATAGCCTACTTTACACTCCTTATGTATCCAAATTCATTTTTTCTTAAATGTAGTAAAGCGATGTAAGACAGTGGAAAGGGGATGGTCTCAGAAATCAAGTATATCTATGCTCTGCTGTTGCTCTGACACTTTACTTGCAGGGTGTCTTTGGACACTTTTTTTTTTTTTTTGCCACAGAATCTCACTCTGTCGCCCTCAGTAGAGTGCAGTGGTGACACAACTCCCAGGAACCTCAAACTCTTGGGCTTAAGCAATTGTCTTGCCTCAGCTTCCCAAGTAGCTGAGACTATCGGCGCCCGCCACAACGCCAAGCTCTTCTTGTCATTGTAGTTGTCATTATTGTTTAGCAGGCACGGGCCGGTTGGAATCGCCAGCCCTGGTGTATGTGGCGGGCACCGGAACCACTGAACTACAGGCGCTGAGCCTGGACACATTTCTTACTTTGCTTAAGAGTCAGTTTTATGCCTATTAATGGAGTTAATACGTATTGTATTAGTCGCGAGACTTAATATTATATACAAAGAACACCGGCTTTGGATCCAGAAAATTCACAAACTTCAGTATGAATTTTGGTTTTTTTTGCCACTCTGTTGCCCAGGCTAGAGTGTAATGGCATTATGATAGCTCACTGCTACCTCACACTCTAGGGCTTAAGAGATCCTCCTGCCTCTGTTTTCCAAGTATATGGGACTACAGATGTCCCCAGCTAATTTAAATTTTTTGTAGGGACAAGTCTGGTCTCCAACTCCTGGCCTTGAGCAGTTTGCCAGCCTTGGCCTCCCAAAGTGCTGGGATCACAGGCATGAGCCACCTTACCCAGCCAGTTTTGCCTTTTAACTGGTATTGTAACTTTAGTGAAGTGTCTTGAAGTTTGTGGTCATTTGTTTTTCTCATCTAATTATAACACTAGTGTGGTATATGTACACCATGGAATACTATGCAGCTCTAAAGAAAGGTGAAGACTTTACCTCCTTCATGTTTATATGGATGGAATTAGAAAATGTTCTTCTTAGCAAAGTATCTCAGGAATAGAAGAAAAAATATCCAATCTACACAGCCCTAGTTTGAAACTAATTCATAGCTTTTATAGGAATGTCATAACCTAATTATAGCCTTAGAATATGGGAAGTGGGTGGAAGAGGGGAGGTGAGGGGCGTGGATGGGGGGAGGGAGGGTAATTGGTAGGGTCACCTCTTTGGTTTATCTTACAAGGGTACAAGTGAATCTTTCTAAAAGCAGAATATGACTGTCTTAACCAATAACTAAGAAAATGACATGGGCTCAGCGCCTGTGGCTCAAGTGGCTAAGGCGCCAGACACGTACACCCAAGGTGGCGGGTTCGAATCCAGCCTGGGCCTGCCAAACAACAACGATGGCTGCAACCAAAAAATAGCCGGGCGCCTGTGGTCTCAGCTACTCAGGAGGCTGAGGCAGGAGACTCGCTTGAGCCCAGGAATTGGAGGTTGCTGTGAGCTGTGATGCCCCGGCACTCTACCCAGGGGGACAGCTTGAGGCTCCTGTCTCAAAAAAAAAAAAAAAAATGACATGAAGGTTATGTTAACCAGTTTGATGAGAGCATTTCAAAATGCATGTGAAAACAGCACACTTTACCCCCTGATTGCATTAATGTACATAGTTTACTATAAGAAATTAAAAAAAAATTATAATTATAATACTAGTCCTGCTTATATCACAGAGTGGTTCTGAGAATTGATAAATAAGGTAATGTGTAGGAATGTGGTCTGTAGGAAGCCAAGTATTTCCCAGAGTCTTAATTTGGGTTCTCTTTAGTTGTTACTCAGATGTGGTGTTAATATTCAGCATGAGCAAGTCACATTTTGTTTGTTTATGGGGTTTTTTGTTTTGTTTTTTTGAGAAAGATTCTCACTGTAGCCCTTGGTTAGAGTGATCTGACATCACAGCTCACAGCAACCCAAGCCCTTGGACTTGTGGTTCTCAACCTGTGGATTGTGACTCACAGGAACTGTGTTAAAGGGCCATGGCATTAGGAAGGTTGAGAACCACTGGCCTTAAGCGATTGTCTTGCCACAGCCTCCTAAGTAGCTGGGACTGCAGCCACCTGCCACACGTCCGACTATTTTGTTGTTGTTGTGATTGTTGTTTAGCAGGGTGCATATAGCCAGCACCCTAACCACTGAGTACGGGCGCCAAGCTGCCAATCACATTTTGTATACAGGTTGATAAGTTTATTTAGGGGTGAAAATTTATTTAGAGGTCTTGTGGGGAAAAAATTTTTGATAATTCCCATAGATTTGGGCATTGGCATATTTTTCTTTCTTTTTTTTTTTGAGACAGAGTCTCAGAGTCTCACCCTACGTAGAGTGCCATTGTGTCACAGCTCGCAGTAGCCTAAAACTCTTAGGCTTGATCTAATCAACCAAACTAGTCCTGCAGTGCTTGATTGAACCTGAAGTATAAGCTCTACTTATTTAGAGATTGAGGGAAAATACATTCCAAGAACAAATGACAGGAAGACTCAGCTCAGCTTGGCAGACATCAGTGACTACTTAAATGAGGTGAATCTTCTGATTCAAGGCTCTGCAGACATCATTTTGGATGCTGGTGAAAACCAGTGTGCTTTTTTAGCTAAGCAAATTTCAGCAAAGAGAACTGGATCAAGGCAACTATGTAAATGTTCCTAGAATTGGGGAATAACTATTATAGGTTGGAGGAACACTGTAGATATCTTATCAAAGATAAGATCCACTGAAATGTGGATTTACAATTCTATCCTACCCGATATAGACAGCACAATGTTGACCAACCTTGTCAATAATGATTCAAGTGACTTGATAATAAAGGAAATAATGTAAAATGAACCAAAGGAAGACTCACAGAGAAATTTCTGATTCCTTAAAGTAGGTCTCCTCTCAGCTTGCTTTTCTAAATGTGGGATTCATATTCCATTGGCCACAATTACTATTATGAATTAGGTTTTTTAGCTCTTGTTGCCACAATTTTAAAAAAGGTAAAAATGATTGACAATTTTAAAACATTTCAGGCTGCCATGTTAAGAACCACTGCACAATTTCAAATTCCTTTCAAGCCAAGCAGGAGGAATTGCAGGATTGAATAGTAGGTCTACTTTTAGTTGCTTGAGTATTCTCTAAACTTTTTTCCAAAAAGGTCATATTATTTTGCATTCCCACCAGCAGTCTAGAAGCATTCCCTTCTCTCCACATCCACACCAACATCTGTAGTTTTGGGATTTTGTGATGTGGGCTAATCTTACTGGAGTTAGATGATATCTCTAAGTAGGTTTTATTTGCATTTCTCTGATGCAAGGATGAATGAGCATTTTTTAAGGATGATGAGCATTTTTTAATGTCCCTTCTATGCCTATTAAGAATTCTGATCATGAAAGGATGCTTCATAATATCAAAGGCTTTTTCTGCATCAATTGAGAGAAACATCTGGTCTTTGTTTTTTATTTTATTGATGTGTGTACTGTATGATTTATAGATTTGCCTATGTTGAACCAGCCCAGTAACCCTGGAATAAAAGCAACTTGATCATGGTGTATAATTTTTTTGATATGTTGTTGAATTGTGTTAGCTAAGATCTTTTTTGCATCGGTATTCATTAATGATATTGGTCTGTAAGTTTCTTTCTTTGTTGGATCCTTTCCTGGATTGGGTATCAGGGTGATATTTGCTTCATAGAATGTGTTGGGAAATATTCCTTCTTTTTCTATGCTTTGGAAAAGGTTATATAATACAGGTACTAGTTCCTCTTGAAAGGTTTGATAGAATTCAGATATAAAGCCATCTGGTCCTGGACTTTTCTTTTCAGGGAGATTTTGTATTGTTGATGCTATTTCAGTGGTTGATACAGGTCTATTCAAGATTTCTAATTCTTTCTGGTTGAGTCTAGGAAGGTGGTGTGCTTCCAGGTATTGGTCCATTTCCTTCAGATTTTCATATTTCTGGGAATAGAGCTTTTTGTAGTAATCATTGAGGATTTTTTGAATTTCTGAAGTGTCTGTTGTTATTTCTCCTTTATTGTTTCTGATGGACAATATTAGAGATTTTGCTTTTCTATTTCTGGTTAGGTTGGCTAAAGGTTTATCAATTTGGTTAATCTGGCTTGGCGCCTATAGCTCAACCGGCTAAGGCTCCAGCCACGTACACCTAAGGTGGCGGGTTCGAACCCAGCCCGGACCCACCAAACAACGACGGCTGCAACCAAAAAAAAATAACCGGGCGTTGTGGCGGGCGCCTGTGGTCCCAGCTACTTGGGAGGCAGAGGCAGGAGACTAGCTTGAGCCCAGGAGTTGGAGGTTGCTGTGAGCTGTAATGCAACGGCACTCTACCCAGGGGGACAGCTTGAGGCTCTGTCTCAAAAAAAAAAAAGAAAAAAAATTTGGTTAATCTTTTAAAAAAACCAACTTTTTGTTTCATTGTTCTTCTGAGTGATTC